GATTGTGATCATCTCTGTACTCTTTCATTCATAGTGAAGTTTGGGAGGACAGTCTCCCACGAGACGTACTGGTTAGAGGCCAGGAACTCGTTAAAGTCGTGTGTGTTCTTATTGCTTTTGTCTGATCTCTGCTTTAACAACAAGTAGCAGTGTAAGAACGTGATATAACGAGTAGACAATCTAGGTTTTGAACCTTACATCTCTTCTCCCATTCCTCACATTTACAAATTACAACCAATAAAGGTCAACCATCATTTTTCTTAAGGTTGTAGTCTAATATATAAAGATCACTCAACAATGAATAGAACCCTTACACATAATTTGATTATATAAATATATATATATATATATATATTGTTTTCTTATTGTATACATAAATTCGAAGTACATATGAAGCAACCTCTTCCCAGCTCGTTTTACAAACAAGTCGGTGCAAAAACTATACCTTATTATCTTGCGATGGTCCCGAAGTTATTTAAATAATTAATAATACTATGGAAAACTTATCATTTTATATCAAGAAAATAGGTGCTTAAGCTTGAAGAGAAAGGAACACTATATATATTGCATATGCCAATGCATTTCATTCATCAAACAAATCAAAGCAAAATATAAACCTTGTATTTACTACTTACATTCCAAATCATCAACATAAAGTTCAAGATGACGGTAAGAACAATTCTTTTGGTTTTGAATACTATGTATTTTCTTGCATTTTCTAAATGTTCTCCGATTCATGTATGCTTTTCTTGTGAATTTAAATAATCTCTGACTTATCTTCAGACTATTGAGATGAGAGTTCACATGGATTGTGTGGGATGCGAGAGCAGAGTCAAAGCTGCCCTTCAAAAGATGAGAGGTGAAAACTCTTTAATCTCTAGCGATTTTGTTTCCTGTAAATCATGTAGACTATATAAAAAAATGAAAGAGATTTATAGAACTTTTGGTTGTTTAGGGACAAAATGGTGTGGTTGTGTTGGAGCATGCATTTACTTTTAAAGATTATAACTAAGATTGTCAAAAACGGTAAGAGATGTTAACCATGTTGAATGAAAACAGGAGTGGATGAGGTAGAAATCGACATGGTACAGCAGAAAGTGACTGTAACTGGCTACGCCGATCAGAAGAAAGTTCTGAAGAAAGTTAGAAAAACCGGCCGGCGAGCTGAGCTATGGCAGCTTCCCTTTAACCCTGACCACAGCTCTCTCCTCGGCGGAGGTAGCAATAGCACAAACGGTGGTTACTTCTACAACCCTCATGGCTGCAACGGGCCTATCAACCACCATGCCCCGGTCCCAGGTTCTTCTTACAATTACTACAAACACGGTTACGATAGCAACGATTATTCATCTTACCAGAACCACCCTGTTCACGCCTCTATCTTCAGCCACCAAGCTGGTTCTAAGTTTAGCGATGAGAATCCTAATGCTGCTTGTTCTGTTATGTGATGTGATTTTTTTTTTTGCTTACTACTTATATGGTACGAGCGTAAGTATGTAATCATCATCAAGTTCCTTACTTCAAAAAACTATGTATTCCTTTTTTTGTGCTTATGTAATGTAAGGTAGCTTAAGCACAGTTGCTTAATTAATTATGTTTTTAAGGTTTAAGTTATTATAACTATCAATTTCAATATGCAAACCAGCAACTCACATATACTGGCAATAATTTTAAATTACGTCGAAATTATAATTAGTTGATCTGTATAACTCAGACAAAGAAAGCAATGACCATTAGATTCTTATCATCGTAACATCTTCACAATCATACTTGCGTATCAACCGTCAAGTAGTCTTGTTAACATATTGAGCGTATCCCCTAGTCATAAGCATTGTTATACCATTTCACCAAGCATAATGCCGTATCTATTATCTAAGTAAACGTAATTATGGAATAGTAAAAGCTTAAATGGAAATTATCAGAGAGTGGATTTGGCTGCTGCCTCATTCACAGATCTAATGCTCTTGACATTCTTCTTCTTCTTCTTAATCATCTTATTTTCCTTTCCTTGCTTCTTTCTCTTGTTCGATTTAGGTTTAGGATTAGCCACTGCTCGAGGAGTGTCATCGGAATTGATGATCTGAAGAGAGGTGATACAGCATTCCTGCCACTTGAGCCTTTCGATATCGGTTATCACTTGATCGAGAGTTAGGGAAGCTGATGATGATGAGACTGAGGTTTGATTCAGAGTCGAGCGAGAGAGATCTAGTAAATCCACTGCATCTACCGCTTCGCCTACAGTTTTCTGTTACAATCATCCCGATCGATCGATGATCCATGAAAAGAAAAAAACAATTAAAATTAACGTAATCGGATCATCGAAGCTTCAAAAAATCGATCAAACCAAAATCTCAAAGCTGTTTTCTCAAATTTCTACGGAATTTAGAGATGATCGATCGGTGGATACCTTAATAGAGTGGTGAAGCTTTCGGAAACCGTGTATATGAAGGATCTACAGAGACGAGTATTCAAATGTTAGAAAGAAAGGAGGAGAATCAGATCTATATCAGAGGGAAAAAAAAATCAAAATACCTGATTGAGGTAGGAGCAGGTGAAGTCGATGGACTTTCCAGAGTCGAAGTAATCAACGTACTCTTCCAGAGTCATCTTCTTTTCTCCTCCACCTCTCATTCTTCTTCTCCGTCTCTCTCTCTCGCTCTCTTTCTCTTGCTTGAGAATGTTTAGCGGTTATAAAGAGACTATACTGATCAAATTCAAATTTCGAAAGTAAACTACTGTGTTTATTTTGGGCCTATATTGGGCCTAATACTATTAAATAGGCTTTAGAATAAGCCCAGTAAAGGTCAAGTTGGTGTTTGGTGACTAGTCAGAACCTAATCACGCTTTCTCCCACTATTAAATGCGCATCCTCTAAATAATTGAATTGACTCGTCGTCGTCTTCCTCACGCGTTTCTCCTCATCAGATTCTTCTTCACCGGATCAAATCATCATCATCAACAACATTCCCGCCACCTCAATCATGTACCCTCCTCCGATGCTCGTCAATTGCTCCGGTTGCCGGACACCTCTCCAGCTCCCATCCGGCGCACGATCCATACGCTGCGCTCTCTGCCAAGCTATAACTCACATCGCCGATCCACGCTCCCCTCCTCCTCCTCATCAACCTCCTTCCTCCGCCGTCGCTCCTCCTCCTCCTCCTCAACACGTCCCCGCGCCTCTAGGTCAGCTTCCTCACCCTCATGGAAGGAAGAGAGCTGTGATCTGTGGTATCTCGTACCGTTTCTCTCGTCACGAGCTTAAGGGATGCATCAACGACGCTAAGTGCATGCGTCATCTTCTCATCAATAAGTTCAAATTCGCTCCGGATTCTATTCTTATGCTCACTGGTAAAGAGATGAGCAAATTATCCTTGAAACTGATTAAAATCAATGTTTAAGAAAAAAATAGATAGTGGCAGTTAGATTATTTAATATGGAATTATTAATTAGACAGTTAGAAAATCATTTGTGAAAAATCATGAGATTATTGATTAGACTTTTATATGAGATTATTAATTAGACGGACGACTAAATATTGTTTTAGAAAATTGTTTCGTCCTTAGATGCCGTCTAGACCAATTTTTAGAACACTGTTTAAAGATTTAAAACACATTCTGATTTATTATTATTTATTTTCGTGGTGTTAAACTGTTGATGTAGAGGAAGAAACTGACCCGTATCGAATCCCTAACAAGCAAAACATGAGGATGGCATTGTATTGGCTAGTACAGGGATGTACAGCAGGTGACTCACTTGTTTTCCACTACTCTGGTCATGGTTCTCGTCAAAGAAACTACAACGGTGATGAAGTTGATGGCTATGATGAAACACTCTGCCCTCTTGATTTCGAAACTCAAGGGATGATTGTTGATGATGAGATTAATGCAACTATTGTACGTCCGCTTCCTCATGGTGTCAAGCTTCATTCGATTATTGATGCTTGCCATAGTGGAACTGTTCTTGATTTACCGTTCTTGTGTAGAATGAACAGGTTAGTGTTTTTCCTTTTGTAATACTTGTTAGCACTGGAGAGATTTTTATTTGTTTTTGGATGTAGATCTGGGCAGTATGTGTGGGAAGACCATAGGCCAATGTCAGGTTTGTGGAAAGGAACAGCTGGTGGAGAAGCTATATCAATTAGTGGATGTGATGATGATCAGACTTCCGCGGATACGTCAGTAAGTAGAATGAGTCTAAGTCATATGTCTTGCCTTTGTAGCTGTGTTCTTCAGACTCATGATTGAAACCATGTGTGTGTGTATATACAGGCGTTGTCAAAGATCACGTCTACTGGTGCTATGACTTTCTGTTTCATTCAAGCGATTGAACGCAGCCCGCAAGGCACAACCTATGGAAATATTCTGAACTCGATGCGTACAACTATAAGGAATACAGGGAGTGGCGGTGGTATTAGTGTTAGTGGTGGCGGTGGTGGAGTTGTCACGAGTGTGCTGAGCATGCTTCTGACAGGGGGAAGTGGTATGGGTGGATTAAGACAGGTACAAATCCTTGTTTCACTTACTCTGTTCTGTGTTTGATGATACAAATTGGTAGTAATGTCTGTTGTGAATCTGTTTTTGACAGGAGCCGCAACTTACTGCTTGTGAACCATTCGATGTCTATGCAAAGCCTTTCACCCTCTAGTAAAGACAACTTACTTTTATGTATAGCGAGTGCGATGAGAATCTGTCCATTTATGAAATGTTCTGTTTTTTTTTTCTTCTTTTAATTGTTCTTTCAAAAGAATAAATTGGAAGATATTGATTCGTTGCTTTAATAACAATATGATGGACGTGATTCGGCTGTATGATATGATGTCTATGCTGTTATATATGCAGTAGCACGCAATATCTCAATAGAGACAAGTGCTTTAAAGAGAAAAAAAGTTGAAATTTTGTTGAAGTGAGGGATACTAAACATGGAGATATAGATAGTGGAAAGGGGAATCTGTTCACATCAACCAAAACATATATTAGTACAGGCGTTAACCTAAATCACGTAGTAAACATGGAGAAATTCATACTAACAAAAAGATATAGATAATGCAAAACTGCGTATTATTGATCATATATAATAAGGTATCTTCACAAGGTATCGTCCATAATCCATAAGAACATGCATGGTAAGATTCTCGTTATACATAACTAAAAACAAGAAAAATGTGCACTATTACGAACTTTTTTCATGTTATATATGCGTTGATAAATACATTCACTTAAACCTCTAACTAAAGTAATACAGTAAGTTGTTAACATATTCTTATTCTGACTGTCCACACAATTTCATCAGAAATACCGAAAAATAGTAACAATTTTATTGAAATTATAGTTTCCTCATTCTAATAATAATCATTAAAAAATAAAATGAAAACTGGTATGCTAAATTGTTAATTTCCTTTTGTCATGAGCAACCTAAAATTCTCATAATCGACCTTTCATCCAAACACCCTTTTCTTTCACTTAACCAAACAATCTTTTCGTGTTCACTAGACTCTTTGTGCACCATTTAAAGTCCATTTGTCATTGATATAAACACATGTCTCAAGTTGCTATTAACCCACAAATGAAGGAAAGGCAAGAGGTTTGTATGACCCTTCTTGAAATTATGTTCAGTACTCTTATTCTTATGAGAGACATGATTTCTATTATTTCTTTGTGAATTGTGACTATATATTTAAATCATTTTATCATGCTTCAGTAGGCTACTAGATCCACCAAGCTTTAATCATTTTATCATGCTCTGGATCCATCCATTCCTTATGATGTTGAGACTTGATCTCTTTGTCTCAAAACGTTTTTCTTCATGTTGCATATACATACAACATCACCTCTTATTTATAATTTACTCCTAATTATTATATTATATTCCAAATCAATATATATAACATAAATACATATATCTTTAGGTTGTTGATGTTTAAGGTTTTAGATTGATTTTTTTAATGTCCAAAATTTTGAGTAAGTTTTAATTTCTGTCTTCTTTAAGAGAATTATTAACTAGAGAAAGAAACAAAAATATGTTTATTTGGGAAACGATATGTGATATTATAGAGATTTCTTAACATATGAAAACTCACAGTAACACCTTTTATAATTAGAAGCCTTTTAATATAAAAATGTTATCAATCTACCATTTTGTTTAGAGTAACATGTAAACTAGTTTGTGATATTTGTTATGTTGTACCATTACTTGATTTAAAAAAAAAAACTTTCTGTTAATTTTCTTTTAAATCATCAAAATATTAACAATTGGTTACAAAATATCTCAAACCTATTTAGATCCAAAAAATCAATTAGTAAAAATAACTTAAAAACCCCTAGACTGATCATCTAGTCGATTACTCTCAACTTTTGATATAGTGTCTCGACGTGATCGATCACATAAGTTTATAATTTGTAACTAGGGAGATGACATGATGCAAAGGAACTCTAACAACAACACAAACAACAGCAACATCTCTAATAACTTACCGCCACATCAAGCTTGCGCTTCATGCAAACACCAGAGAAAGAAATGCAACAACGAATGTATCTTATCGCCTTATTTTCCAGCTCGCAAGACCAAGGAGTTTCAGGCCGTTCACAAAGTGTTTGGTGTTAGTAACGTACAGAAAATGGTACGGACAGTACGTGAAGCGGAACGTACTAAGCTGTCTGATTCTTTGACATGGGAAGCTCTATGGAGACAGAAAGATCCGGTCCATGGCTCATACGGAGAGTATAGGAGGATAAGTGAAGAGCTCAAGCTGTACAAAAGCTTAGTTCATAACCAACCTCTCGTTACTTGGGATAATAATAATCAACGTGTATTCAACCATAGCAATAACAACAAGAACGGATTAGCGGTAAACTCGAGTGGCTCTGGTGGGTTTAGTGTTGTTCATAATAATGGTGTTGGTGTGAATCGGGAGACTATAAACGGTGGATATACATCAAGGAATCTGCAAGGTGGCTGGGGAAATTTGAAGCAAGATCAAAGGCAACAATGTTATGCAGTGGTTAATGGGTTTAGACAACATCATCATCTTCCACACTAGTTCTTGCTTATATTTTATTTTAAGCTCTAATGGATACAAAGCCTGTTAGTGTATACTTAATTATACACTAGTGAGTTTTTTTCTTACTTTAATGCAATTCGTGGTGTATTTTATATTATTGTTAACTGTGTAATTCGTATGCATGATTATTAGTTGGTGCGTATGAAAGTTTGTTTTAAGGTATTAAAATTCAATAACAAACTTGGTTGAACCGAGTTTCCGGTTAAGTGAAGACCTATCGAATAGTTTGTTTTAAAACTTACATAAAACCCCAAACACAAGAAAAGCTGTTATTTATTTCGTGCAAGATCAAAACGCTAGCCTACACTTGGAAGAGTTTTTTTCTTTCAAGATGCAATAACAAGGTAAAGGTAAACATGTTGGAAGGCATAGCAAAGAGATGGAAAGTGCCAAGTGACCAAAACAAATGTGCTTGATAACAAGCTTACAATACACAAAGTCATCAAGAATCTCTTGTGCTGATTTTTGCTAATTCAAAAGCCCTAACTAAGAAATCTGAAAGAGTCAATTAAAAGACCAGAGAACGAGACAGAGGCAGAGATATACAAAAGTGCCGAAACAGAACAAACCAACCCTACGGTTACATCTAAAAGTAGACCAGAAACAGAATCAAACTACCACTATAAAAAAAGAAATAATATACTTCTTTATACTCTAAACAGTCGTGAATATAATACAATCTTTCCTTCCACAAAACCACGTTGTAATATTTCTGCCTCAAGTCTGTACGTCACCTCATCTTCAAATGCTCTTCTAACTCTACCTTCCATCTTTTTAAAAGCCCTGTTTCACCACAACCAATTATGAAGAACTGAACCAGATATGAACAAGACCAATCACATAAAAATGTATATTACAACCATGCCAAAACCGAGACAAGTAAGATGCCGTTAAATCACATGTGCAGTTTAGTAAACAGTCAACAAAAGCTTCTTATTAAGAGAATAACAATGGATGATAGAGATGGATCTTTGGATGCCCTTACATATTTGTCAACACCAAACTCTCTTGAGTCTCTAGGTCTGATCTGATCCAGATGACGAAGAGCTATCGCTGTCTGAATCTGCATACCAAACACAGGGCGTTCAGTCACTAAAATCACAACAGCACCAAGGCAATACATTAGTTAGATAACTCAAAGAAAATCATGTACCACTAGAAGAGCTGGAGCCACTGGAAGAGCTGCTGCTTGAACTACTTGATCTGCTCGCCTCATTGTTTTGCTTCTCCACTTGAGACGGTAATGGTGTAGGGAGTGTCTTTTTAGCTGATAAGACAAAGCAGAAACAATTATAACCCTTACGTAGTTCACACCAAACATAGGAAACTGGAGACTGTAAAATTACCTGTGTTGCCACCCTCCCTAGAAAATTCACGTGCCACTGGTGCTGGAGGCTGTAATAAAGGGGAAATGTACATATAAAGATGACCATACAGGTTAAAGAAAGGAAAAAAATGAGTGGATTCTCAGAAGAAGTAAAAGTACCATCTGTTGTTGGCCATTCCTCTCGGCTTCTGCTCTAGCTTGAATAGCTAGCTCAGCTTTTCTCTTTTTCTTACTCAATCCCTTTTTGTAGTTGATTACAAATCTGTCCAACTCCCACAGAGTCTCCGGATCAACACTATCAATATCGACTTCAATTTCTTCATCCTTTAGCTTCACAGCAGTGTTCCTCCTGTTAACGATTTGTACAATCGCATCTAATTTGTCTGGAGGCAAATTCTGCAAGTGGCCACTAAGCTTCTGCTTCTCTTCATACGTCATATCTCTTTTATTTGGTTCGTTTGCCTTTGGCTTCTTCAGAGCAGGGGTCCTTGCACTGGTCGGTGTTCTGCCAGGCGTGGTTGTTGGTTTTGGGTGCTGCAACTCCGCAGGGCGGCTACTCCAATCCGTTGTATTCCTCACATTGATAGGCGGTGGCGGCATGGTAGGACCCAGTCTCGACCTCATTGTAGAAGCTGGAAGATTCATCTCATAAGCAGTGACAAATCTCATTTCACGATTATAATCCGCCTCTATAACAGCCCACCTCTCCTCAAACATCTGTAACAGCACTTGCGCCATGATATGGACATCTTGTCCTGGTGGGTTGTAAGTCATGGCATTGTGGAAAGTAAGTCTGACATCCTCGGCAAACTCTCTTGGTGACTTGTACAGATTATTTGTTAACGTAGACTTGACAGTTCCCAAATCCATAGGGTGTTCGATGATGGTAAAGTAATCATGCAAACCTAGACCCTTTACATCTACAGGAGCATTGAACACCCAACCGTGCTTGTGCTTCATCAGTCTTTCTAGTAGAGAACTGCAATTCTTGAAAACTTTAGAGCCTGCACCAAAACCATGCGCAACTTCCCCTCCATACTTCTTTGAACTTGATTTTGATTTCTTGTTACTCTCAGCGGGTGGCAACTTGTCACCAAGTAAGAACTCTGAATTTCTGTAAAACTGATTGGCCTTAGGTGTTCTTTTCTCTTTCTCCACATGCTCATTGACTCCGTGAGTATTCTCCAACACTGATATACTGAGTTGATTCAAAGGCCTTGGTACTCTGATGACCTCACGAGGAAGTCCAGCTGATGCAAACCCTGAGAGAATCCTTCCTCCTCCGTTATTAATACCAGCGTTAGCCAAAACGGGAGAGTCATTATACGCACCAATCTCCCCCTCTTTGTCTTCTATCTTCTTCACCAGTCCCCTGACCACGTTAAGCTGATCTTCAAGCTTCTTCCTGATCTCCTCTTTCTGTTGCTTAGATTTGGAGGGTACATGTATCCTTATCCGTCCATCTACATCCTCCTCCATCGATACGCTTTCAGCATCATTGTTCTGAACAGAGCCAGTGGTTAACCCTGCTGGCTGTTGAGCATCAGTGGCATCTTTTATAAGGTGATCTTCATCTACCACGTGGACATACTCCTCATCCTCAGAAGACACTTCAATGGGATTCTTGTCAACAACAACAACAACATTATCCACATCTTCCGCGGATACAGCTTGAGAAGGCTCTTCAATAGCCTTCTTGTCAACAACCACGGTAGTAACATCTTCAAGGGGAAGGCTTTTAGAAGGTTCCTTGATAGAGTTCTCATCAACAACCACTGTATTAACATCATCTTGTGCTTTGTGTACTTCCACAGACTCAGTGTTCACATCATCCTCACCCAAAGGACCTGGACCAGGTTCAATAACGTTCTTATCAGTAGCGTCCAAGCTGGCATCAACCTGAGACGTGTCAGTCAATTTGTGAGAATCATCACCAGGTGCTTCAGCTACACTAGTCTTCTCTGCTTGGGTATTGGTCTCAAGAGGATCCTCATGGACATGATTCACAGACTCTTTCGCTACATGATTGTTTTCTTTCTCCTCCTCCTCTGGTTTATCGCCGCCACGGTCAAAGGCAAAGAAGGGTGACTGTTTCCTCTGACCTTTACCTTTCCTTGTATAAACCTTAATGCTTTGCTTCTCTTTAGCTCCATTGATTCCTTCTCCTTTAAGAGGCTCCGAAGCCATACATGTAACTTCCTAAACCCTAATTTCACGGATTGATGCCTTTCGTATCGATTAAACCTGACAGAAACCCCTCAAATCAGAACCGAAATGATAAACCCTAATTTCCAGAGAAGAACCTTCGTTTCGATTCGGAGAGTGTGGAAGAGGCTTGGGAATTAATGTTTCTGCGTCACTGGAGATTGATTCGATGCAGAGTGGGTAGAATCTCAGAGGAATCAGGTTTTTTTATGAGAAGGGAGACAATTAGGTCATTTGAAATCTCTCTGTGCTTGGAGATCGACACAAACCTTGAGGAGAAAGGATGAGGTGAGTAACGAAAGCAGAGGAAGGTAAGTGAAAGCAATATTTGATCTTAAAAGAGGTGAATCGGAGGAGGGAGCTTACCTTCGAGTTTGGGAGAGAGATGGCGCCGCACGGAGGGAGAGAGAGAGAGAGAGAGGTGAAGAACAATAACAACAACCCGCGTTTGATTTGTTTTTTTTTTTTACCCGACCCGGAACTTTTTAGGGTTGGGCCGATAACAATATCAATTGGGCAACAAATCAGTTTTAAAAAGTAAGAACTCAAGTAAAAGAAAATTTTCATTTTTTGATGTAGTTTTGAAAAAGTGTACTTTTTACTCACCAGTGTGATTATAATTATTTTGTAATGGAAAAGGAGCCAACTTTACAAGCGAATAGAAAATTTTATTCTATTTTTTCAATGCATTAAGGGAGATGTATTCAATAGAGTGTTTTAGGTGGTTTAATTTAAAATGACAAAATTTACTGTTATTCAAACATGAATTTTCATATATTATTTAAAATCTATTGTTATTGAGGTTGACATTTTATAAAGTATTCTGAAATCTAGTGTTAATGGAAATATTTCAAGTTGTAGAGTTTTTAAATTTTCAAATGATTTTAGATTGTTTAGGTGGATTTTCTTAGTTAAAAAAAAATTAAAAATCAAATCCCATGATTTTAGGTGAGATTCTAGAGTGGTTTAACAAAAATCACTGAAATCTCTACATTTTTTTAAAAATCATCCAAAACCTCATTAAAAATCAAAAGAGAGTCGAAGATACTACTAGTCTCAGCATACAAGTTCACGTTCACGATTATTTTTGATAAGAGAAGATCACATCATCTGAAGATGCAAATCACCAGTTTGCTGCGCTAGCTCCACCATCATCGCTTCATCAAAGAACTTGTCTCAGTGATCAAAGACAGATACGCAGAAGGCTTGTCAAGTGTGTGATACCTCAGGTCATGTATATACTACTCTCTTTTTCTTTGAGTAATTGTTTTTCAACTTCTGTCATTTTATAAAAGTAATAATAAAACACTACACACTAGTTCAGACTGATACCTAAAGAAAAAGGATTATTAATGAAATAAAGAAGAACTAACTAGAGAAAGCATACTACATATGTACTGTAAATAACAACGGATAAAAGCCACAAAGAAAAAGGAATACCAAAACAAAGAGCAAAGACGGGAGAAATAGAATGAAATAAGATGATGAGAAGAATAAAACCTAGAAGATGGCTAAGGCGATCCGTGCAGCCTCCTCTGAAGTCCATTTCTGGAGTGTCTTTAAAGATGAAACCCCATGTAACGACACCCACGATGCCTGTAAAGCCGTAGCAAATAGCTAACAACAACATATCTTCAAGGATGGGGAGTTTGTGATGTCTCACATATAGGAACGTCATGACATTGGAGGCCAACAAAAAAATGTGCATCATAATGTCGTAAATAAAGTACTTGCTCTTCCTACACCCGCCAGACATATATATAAATCAAACAATTCACCAACACATGGGGGGTGTTAATACAAATATCTAGTTTGTATGAGAAAAGAAAAGGAAAAAAGTATAACACTTGATAGACTCACCACCATAGATGACGACGACTACTTCGAGATTCAACGTCAGTAGAAGAAGAATCCATGACTTAATATGAATACACAAAAGAGGGGTGTTATCATGTATATATACCAAAAAGCTTTGGGTCTCTTCCTAGGTAAAAGGAGTTTGACTGTTTCTTAGGGATTCTTGGGGTCCAATTCGGATAAGATCAGTTTAGTGTAATTTAAAAAAAAAAAGAAATAAATGGCCTATGCATGGTGGTTGTATGAATGCTTTACGTAAAAGAGTGTAGGATTGAGTGGTCGAACCTTATAGGAAAGAGCGAGATGCGAAGCGAGAGTAGAGAGTGATGAGGTAGAAGAAGATTTGATCGGCGATTTGGACTCGTCAGAGACTCTGAGAGAAGTGTGTTTAGTGTTGACCGGAGTCGTCGAGAGAAAAGAGGGAGAGATTTTAGAGGTTAGGTTTTTAATATAATTGTGACAAAAAAAAGGTTTTTAATATAGAAGCCTCTAACCGACGTAGAGTTTTAGCAAAACCGTATCAATTGGGTTAATTAGCTATGTAACCGCCTTATAATCATCTTCTTTAACAATTTTACTAGATTTTGACCCGCGCTTTTAAGCGCGGGATAAATTTTTGATGAACCTTTTATATAATTGTTTTTTGTCTTTATTAAAATAGATTTAAGAATAAAAACCGTAACCTAAAGTATCAATCGAATTCAATCTATAGAAAACTTGATCCGTATCCGGTCTAAAATATAAGAAATATCAATATGGTTTGTAGGGTGGTACAAAACATATCCAAAACCAAAATGTTATTAGTCAAATCCGAACATATAACCTGAAAACCTTAAAAAAAAACAAAAAATTCTAAAACAATTTCAAATATAAATATTTGAAATATAAACGTGTACTTCAAATACTAAATGGTATCTAATAATAAATATTTAAATTTTAAATAAGTGTTTTAAATATCCAGTTATATAAAAATAATTTTTTATATGTTTTATTTTTAAATTTTACATTTAAGATTGGATATATCCAAATCAAACTAATATAACTCGAATCCGTATGATATATTGTTGCATTACGGATTTTGGGAAGTGATACAAATTAGAACGGAAATTGATGTGTTATCTTAACATGATCCGTACATGTAATATGAGCTTTTTTTATTTGTTCAAAATTTATTTTCCTATAATATTAATTAAATATTTAATTATAACATAAATTAATTATATGATGTTCAACATGTTTCAAATGTGATAAATGTTTTATTTTTTTATGAAATAAGCTGCAAAAAAAATAATTATAAATCATAATCTATAATTCAATATACCATAATATTAATGCTAACTAAATTTATTATTGTATTTATCAAATTCAAATATATTAATTATATTTAATATTTTAGTTTAGATATTATATTAAAATATAAATTATTCATTATTTTAATATTTTATATTAATAAATTAATTGTTATTAATTGATGCTAGTAACAGCATTAATATTATTGATACGAATATATAGAGAGATTTAATCAAAAAAAAAAAAGAGAATGGTATCGGGGCATGAAAAAATCAAAACATCTAATAGATTAAACTGCTTGCTGTCAATGACTGTCATTAATATTGTAGTCAAATTTTCTTTCTTTGCTAAATATAGATTTAGTGTACGTAATTTATTTTGAATACGTAATTTTTTATTCAAAATAATGGATCCGATATTATAGGAAGTAAAGGAAGAGGAGGTTATAAAATACTAAATCAGTTAATTATTAAGAGGTAGGTCTAATGGCAATAGAAGTAATATTCCATGGAGTTTCAAGGGTAAATAATAAGGATGATCCTGTTTTAATAAATTAGATCCACTAACTAAATTTTTTACTCCCTTTATTCCTAAATGTAAAATGTGTAAAGAAAATTTTGTTGTTCTAAATTGTAAATGTTCTCACATTTTTAGATTATTTTAACTTTATAAAAAACTGTATAATTAATCATATTTAATAATGTATTTTTATACTTATTTGAATAGTTTTTAACGTATAGTTTTAATGATACATCTTAGATAACAAGTAACTTTATTAATACGTGTATTAGTTTCTGTGTTTAAACTAAAACATCTTGTATTTGGAAATGGAGGGAGTAGAGTTTTTGTGGATGAAAATACCTTTCTCCTGTTATGCATCATCAAATACCATAAAAGCTAACCAAAACACCTCGCATAAATACCTACGGTGCCGGGTGAGGACTCACCTCCGGTTTTTTAAAATGTCAAGAGCAAAGAAAACGAAGCTAAACAAGGTTCCACAGATATAAAAGTCGAAAGTACATTGCAGAAGAAAACACTAAAAGAACAACAAATCTTCCCCAACATAAGACTTGCTCATTTCTCATCTTCATCACTCGATAACCCGAGTTCTATTTTCACCTCCTTGTCTTCTTTGACAGTCTTGTTGGAGGATCCTGGTGTTTCTGCATGTTTTCCATCCTCAACATCCTTTTGCTTCACAGGAAGATGTTCTTCTTCTGTTGGTTTCGGAGGACCAGCATCTTTGCTTCCCGATGATTTTTGTTCCACCACGGACGCCTTCTTCATAGTTTCATTGTAAATAGATAGAACGCGTTGGAGCTCATCGTTCACGTGGAGAGCCTCAAAAAGAACACCTTCATCGTCTGTTGTGCTCTCTATGATCATTTGAATCAACGGCTGTGACTGCTTGCATTTCTCCATCAAGCTTACCGTTAGCTCGTCCTGTAAGCACAAGGTCCACAACATATATAATAAGCACCATTACTTATCTTTGTTCTGTCAAAAGAGTAGTTAAAGGATGCAACAGAAACTTATATAGAATAAGCTTCCATGAGTCTGTGAGATTACCTCTGTATGATTCGGCTTCCCCTCAGTGTTCAACATGCTAGAGAGCAGCTCGAGGCTGTTCCGTGTAATCTCAATCTGTTCTTTCTTATCCTTAATCGACAAGTTCCCAAAATTATAGTCAAGACCACCACCATCATCTCCACGAGCCTGTTCTTGAATAGGAACAGGATAGCTACCAGGTGGAGGAACTGGAACCGGCCGTTGCATCAAAGACTCCAAAGAGCTTTGTCCCGCCACTGGATTCTCCTCGTTACGAGTGTTCAAACCATTATCTCCTTCCAAACTCTAACAAACAAACAGTGATCATATAAGCACATCAACAAAACCATCACAAATCAGATTCAAAAGAGGCTAGGTTATTATTACCATATAAGTCTGCTTGAAAACAGGAAGATAAGCAAGATCTTGAGACTGTCCCCAAGCTCTAACAAGCTGAAAAGCTCTGCTTCTATTCTCTGAATCAGCTTCACCGTTCTTAACCAACAAAACCATCTCATCAAGAACTCTCTCAGAAGCAACCTCAGAGAAAATCTTGTCACAGTTCATAGCACAAGCCTCAAGAAGCTCAAGGCTCAGCCTTTGGCTCACAGGGCTTTTACCAGAGATCTTCCTCTTGATGGCTTTAACGATCTCCGTGGCGTTGAACTCCTGGTTGTTGATCTGAGCGCATATCCTCATGTTCATTCCCCAGTTGGGCTCCTCAAGAGTCTCCAGAGTAGCTTCATCAACCATTTTGGATTCCAAGGTGGGAGCTTGGAGGATGTCTTTGACTTTGTCACTCACCATTCTGCTCATCTGAGCTCCTCCTGTCTTCAACTTCTCTCCCCATTCAGCTATCTTCAACTTATCCATCTTTCACATAAAAAAATCAAAACTTTATATAAATTTTACGAAACCCTAAATTCGATTCCCATTCATTTTCGAGATGCAATCGTCAGATTCGAGTAGAGATCGATTAATCAAAACTTTCAAATTCTAATTTAAGAGATCAAAACAAATGAATTGGATCTAATCAAATGTGCTGATCCTAGAGATTATAGAGACAAACCTGAGATGTAGTTTCCTTTAGGACGATCAAATCTTGTCTTTTTTTAATTCTTTGGTTGTTTAAGGTTGAATCTGTCGGAGCGAAATGTTGAGGAGACGAGAGTAGAAAAGAGGAGGGGAAAAGGGTTGTGAACACGTGGCATGTTGAGAAAGTCAATACAATTTTTTGGTCAAATCCTCCCGTGTGGGGGCTAATGTGTTCAATGTTTTAATATAGGGTGACTTTCGAAACTGGAGAGTAAGTACAGGGTCTATATCGACAATTTTTGGTCAAATCCTACATGGTTTACAAGCTCGACTACTCCCTCACTCTCGCCCTCAAGGTCTCTCTCTTTCTCTCACTTGCTTTTCTAAAATTGGTTTTTGAGAATGATTAAATTGGCTAGGGTTTTTTATTTGTAATTAAAAATAATAATGTACACTTTATGCTAAGGGTTTAGTATTTTGGTTGAATTGAGTTTTGAATGATTCAGATTCAATGCAAATGAAAGTTCATATAATCAAATCATAGCTATTGAATTTGAGTTTATAATATGTACCATGTCGTATAACTTGTGAAGATGATTCCAAGATCATTTTTAGCTAATTGAAATGTTTGTAAATGTGATTATAGAATCTGTTTTATTTAAATACTTGAGCTGCTGAATGTCACGGAATCCTACTAAAAGGAAGCTCAATGACCGGGAATTCGATGTTGTATTCTTGAATCAGAGTCGGTGTTGCAGCTAGACTTATTATTAGTTTACCAAGAGGATGATTGTTTATGTTAAAAATTTTATCAGATGACGATTAGTCCCTAGATGATGCTTGATGAAGAGGTTTATGAAGCTAAGGAAGAAGCTGTAAAATAAGAAAGATTTTCCTACAGAACGTGAGAGAAGAGTTCACTTCAAAGACCGGTTTGGTGACTTAGAAAAACTAATTCCAAATCCCACCAAGGTTTAGTTACTTCTTCTTCACGTAATAATAAACTTAGCAAACTATAATCATTCTTTCAGGTTTTTTTTTTTGTTTACTATCCCTCTAGAAGGATAGAGCAATAAGCATCAATCGTTGGAGAAGCGCTAGATCATATCAAAGAGTTGTTAAGGACCATTGAGATCAAAGTTCACTGAAGTCGATGTGTATATAATAGTTACTATCAAGGTTGTGCAAAAGAAGAAAATCAACTGTTTACTGTTTGTCTCCAAAGTGATTGACCAGCTTCACCAGCTTCAGGTTGATCTTCGCCATGTAGCTGGTGCACAAATAGGAGAGCACCACATCTTCTTGTTCAACACCAAGTTTTGTCATTAAATTCTTAATTCAAACCCTTTATTAGAGACCAACAAAAACTTAGGAATTATAATAAGTGTTATATGAACAGATTTGGGAAGGATATAGTGTTTAACTGTTTATGCAAGTGGCATAGCAGACAGAGTTATGGAGGTGTTGGAGAAACAATACATGGAAGCTACTCTAGTGATTAATGTGCGTTCTACAGGTAATTACATCAATATTGATCATTAAAAATCACATTAGTAATGTTACTACTTAGAGCTTGAGTTTTTTTGGGTTTTAACATCACAAGTCATGGAGAATGATGAACATAGTCATAGTTACTATCCAGCTTGTTTAGAAAATGAATAATTAATATAATTTTTTTTATTATCATTTCCAAAGTGCTTGAACAACTTGTCTACATCCACCAATTAGCAGCCGATCGCTACTCAGCTTGTATGTTCAACACTAAGGTTTGTGATCAATTTTTTGAAGTATATAAATTCCATTTTCTGATTATAGACAAACAAACAATGAATCCTTTAATCAGGCATATTATTTGATTAGAATACAAAGTTATATTTATACTCGATTTGGTTTCCTTTTAACTATTTTCTGTCGGATATTAAAAGTTAAGATAAACTTAGATTATAATAATTTAAAATACTAGGATCGACTTTTAGGACTATCATGAACAAATAAATATTAAGAAAACAAGCATTAAAGTAGATCTGTGTTTTACTTATTAGATCATTCGTGATACATGCTTGCCAATAGTAACGCAATAGTAGACCACTTGTCTATACACTTCCAACATCCCCATCACAGCCCTTCCAAAAATCCGACAACTATAAAATTATTATATAAAATCAGAAGTCACTCAAATCTCATGAGAATTTAAAACTAGATATGATCATGAACATGATCTCATAAGCTCTTCTAAGTACTCAGCACCCAAATCCTCAAAAACCAAAAGCGTTGTATTACTTTCTTGTTTTGTAACAAGACTCTCTTTTCTACTTCTTGAAGTTGAAGAGGAAGAAGAAGAAGGAGAAGACTTCTTCTTTCCTCTGGGTCGGTTTCTCATGGAGTGTTTCCTCTTCAAAGCTATCACTGGAGACTCTCCGTTGTATAGATTGACATTCTCCATCTTCTCCAGAGACTCCTTAACAACTTCTACGGGGAAGTTGAGTACCGCAAGGTCACCTTTCAAAGCGAAAGCTGCCTGATCATAAGCAAGAGCAGCCTCTTCAGCAGTATCAAACGTCCCGAGCCACACTCTTATCCCTTTCCTCGTTGAGTCTCTTATCTCGGCTGCGTATTTCCCCCACGGCCTCTTCCTCACTCCTCTGTATGACCTCTCCTCCTCCTCCAAGGCCGCCACGGTGGCTTCTTCTTCTACTTCTTCTTCTTCTTTGATGAGTGATGATCCAAATGTGAAGAAATCATCAGAGTAGTAAGAAGGGCTAAATGAGTGGAAGGATTGATCATGCAAGAAACTCTCTTCCCACAAGAATGATTCTTGTGAGCTCCATGAGTTTGTTGAACAAGAGTTCTCTGGAGAAAACTCTTGACTTTGGTTGTCTGAAAAGAAGCTAGTTTGATACTCCATTCTCGATCTTTTTTTTCTCTTAACGGTTCTCTTTAATAAGTGGTTATACATTTGGTAAATATATTGCATATATATACACGAGATGTGGAACTGGTTAGATATTTGAATTTTGAGGTGCATTATATAATATTATAATACTTTAATATATATTTTATATCATCGGGTCCAACTGATAACAAGGCTGCCTACAAAACTCATTAACCATTTATTTAGAAAGTGGGGGCCATGCAAAAAGATAATATAATTGAGAAACAAGCCAAAAAAGAAGGTTATACGTAATAGGATCTATCTCTAATACGATAACACAGAGGTGGGTGCATTGTTCCACGTGGGACAAGACCAAGTTTGAGGGAATGACGTACGGCGGCGTGTGTCCGACAAATTACATGAGGTCATCAATATGTTGACATGCCTCTATTTGCCATGTTGGCGTTGGTTTCTCGAGATGTCGTTAATTAGTAGAGTTATTTTATTGGTGATAATATTTATGGATTTACAGCTTAATTACTATAATAGTTAGCATATAACAAGAAGAGAATACGAGAAAAGAAATGAAAAGAAACATCAACTGTTAAAACAGACTTTGCAAAAATAAATTAGCACGAGTAATTTTCTTTTTCTGATATATCATATCGGTTGATTCATTCGATCTAAATATATGACACAGTTTGTACTATATATTGAATTTTTTTCTGAAGAACCATCATACTATCTAGCTAATCCAAATTTTAATGTTTTATGACTAGTGTCAAGAATAGTCAGATTACATGTTACTGTAGTAATTACATAGACGAAATTGCAAGTCCGATATTGTTTCTAAAGACACTCAATTCTTGGAGGATGTTTTAGCACACTCTTAGGTTTCATCTATCATTTGATCACATCCGGCAATACACTAGTATAATAACTCGAGTAATTTATAAATGCTAAAATTAAACCGCTAAATTGTACCTTAAATAGATAAATCGTTTATATAGCACATGCATAGTAACAAACTAACAATAGCAACAAAAGAACAAACTAACTAACAATAGAAGTTATTTATAAAAAAAAAAAAAGAACTAACAATAGGTGTTTTCTTTTGAAAACTAGTGACTACAAATATGCGGCTAAATGGGTCAAACATGCGACAAAAAGCTGAGAAGAATCACTGGTTTTTTCAACGTCTCCATGCAAGTTATTAACTTATAAAAGTAATTTATTATTATGTTTTTTCATATGTTCCGAATATTTTCACGGTGTGCCAATTATATATTTAAAACAGCTTAATAAAACCTTCAATGAATGAGTATATAGTAAAAAATACACTGTCATTTTGACAGAAAAATATATATATATATATACTGTCATTGTGATCATTGTCAAATATAATTAGAATAATT